GGGGGGGGGGGAGGGGATGCCGGGCGGCGCGGCGAGGGAACCTCATGCACGATGCCCGCGAGAATGAAGGCGGTGGAGAGGGGTGCCACGTGAGCGCCCGACGCCCGGCGTCCACGCAAACGGACACGGTCCCAACCTCACGTGTCATGTGCCCGGCGAACCCTTTCGACGATTTCGGGAACTCGAGAGCCAGCGCAAGCTGTTCTTCCACTTGCGAACACGGAGCGGAGTTTGATAACGCTGATATGAAATTTCGGGAGGGTAGGAAATATCAAGGAAATATCGTGCCGCTATGCGCGAGTCCGTGTTCGGAATTAATTTACAGATAGTTGATGAATTCGGTTAAAATTGTATGGTGGACTAGTTGTGATTTTTCTTTTCTCTCTCTCTCTCAAAGTTAAAAACTGAACTGTCGTATAATCCGGAGTATCACTGGAAAAAGTCTGGTGAGCCTCGACTTAAGTAATAAGAATAAAGCAACCATAATTTATTTCACCTTTTTGAAAAAAACGGTAATAAAAGTCAAAGGAACATTTATAAAACTTGTTTACTGAAATCTTTTAAAAAAATTACCCGGAAATTCTCAGAATTTTCCAGGTAGTTTTGCTCAAAATTCATGGTAAAATTAGAGAATCTTTAAATATATTGAAATAAAGAAATGTGATGAAAGTGGCTGGAGTACAAGTAACACAAATAAAGTATATGTTAAAAATTAATAGAGGACAGAGTTTCACAACAGATACAGTTTTGATTTATTGTGGGATTATCTATATTGTTTTCCTAAATTCCGATAACATTTTATGAAGATCCTTGACTTTCGATAGTAAGATAAGGAATTCTATAAAAATTCTAAATTTTCCAGGCTTTTCCTGGTAGTAAATATTCTGAACACAAAATTGTTACAAAAATTAATATTTTTTCATTAAAAAAATTTCTTTAAATTTATTTTTTATTAGATATAGAATGTTTACGTCGATTCGTGGAGATGCTCAAAGTCAAAGTTGTGTGCGTGCGCGTGTGTGTGTGTATGCGTGTAGCTACCAAATATATTTCATTTAACATATAGAAGCAATATTTAGTAAATATTATCAAATATAATAATAGTAACCAACAGTTTGATAATAATAACTAAATATTTAGAAAAGGGAAATTAACGTTTAATGAATTTTGATTATATTAATCTTAATTTACATGATAAAAGAGTTATGTGTGTCTTGTGCATTTCTTTTCTTTAAAATACTAGCACACCGAGAAAAATGTTTCGACGAAACCAATAAAAAGCCAAATACAACTGGTGTTTTAGAGAGACCGAACAGAATTTCTGTTTTTATCATAAGCAGAAATTCCGTTTGGTCTTCCCAAAATATTATTCATGTTAAATTTTTTATTGGTTTAATCGGAACATTTTTCCCAGTGGAGAGCACTTGGCTAAATAATATTTTCTTTTTTTTAATAAATAATTTTATAAATGTTTTTTAAAAATGTAACAATCACTTAATAACTTTTGTATATGTATACTTATAAAAGTGACAAAAATAGCCTAGATACGAACGATCAATCATGTGCAGTAAAGAATCGAAAAATCATCGTGTGTACTAAGGATTATCCAAATATTTTATAGAAATTATTTCAACAAAGCTTTATAGTAATTATTATCTAGATAATTAGTGTGTGCGGCAAAATTTGACCTTTTTTACAACACAAATGTGAACAATTATTTCCGATGTATTTTTATTAAATACGAAGTCGTCAAAATTTGGCTATCACATGACAATTTGAGGAAAATGGCATCAAAATGACAAAAATACGATAATTTTGAGTTTACGGCATTGTAATATCAATACGAATTTTAAAAAAATTTCATTAATGCCACGCGAAAATATCAATTTTCAGTTTTAAAATACATTTTATTTTGTTTCAATAATTTTTTTCAAGATATATACACGTAGATGTACACGTAGATATACACATAGTGTTTTACACAGGAAAAAAGTTATTTTAAATGCATATGTCTCAAAAATGAAAATGTGTATCGAAACGAACGAAAATGCATTTTAAAACTAAAAGTACTTAGATAGTTTCGCGTGACATCAATAACATTTAGAAAAAAACTTGATATCAATGCTATAACGTCATTAAAGTTTTCAAAATCGTCATTATTTTTGACTCTTCGATGTCATTATTTTTATCAAAATTGTGACGTGATAGCAAAATTTTGTCAACGAATTCATATTCAGCAGGTAAAAATACATCGAAAATTACTATTCAAATTTGTGTTGTAAAATAGTGCTGGACAGTGTTATTATTACATTTTTTCACTAATCGTGTGTTAACATATGTTGCCCAATCGATCTTGTCGTAAGTGTAAGTTCCAATTTCCTCATAAGGCGATGTCTATAAAGAGTATCGATATCGTACACCTATATTTTTTTTCTGCAGATAGAATTCGCATATCAATCGCAAGATACAAAGTATTTCCCGAGCAACGTTGCGAGTTCCATTTAACGCGGCCGTGTTTAGGAAACTCGAACGTGTGTACGGGATGTGCCCGTGTAACGAGATCCGGAAACGCCAGTGTCCGATTCCGTTTGGTAAATTATTGCTGGTGAAAGAGGAAGTCGGTATCTACAGCCAAAGTCGGAGGATACGAAGTTTCACTTTCCGTGCGATTCGAATCGCTTCGACTTCCTCGCTCTCCCCTTTCCACCCACAGTTTTCTACC